CCAAGGAGCCATCGTTCTCTGTTGGAATCCCACGCATCAACACACTTGCTTCAGACCCTTCTACCAAGTCAAAGAACACATCATTGCATGGTCTGATTCAGGAGACTGGCTAAAGGTTTCTCTTTAAGACTCAGTCAGGAACCTGAGTTTCAAATTGGTGAGAACTTTGGCTGAGCTGATTTTCAGAAAAAGATCCTAACTTGGTATTCCTCCCCACTGGAATACCCATCTCTTGAGAATGGACAGAGTTTATCTCTGTTTGAGACGATGGCTCATTGGTGTGGTAGATTTAAAAGTTTACTCTTTTGGCCCTCCCTTGTGGCACAAGGGGTTAAAGTGCAGAACTATGAAGCTACTGCAGCCACTGCAGCATGAATTTGATCCCCAGCCAGGAGGTGACCCACATGGTGCAGCAGACCTCTCCTGACCCACCCACTGCTGCCCCCCTCAGCAGTGTGTTTCAGTCAATCTGACTGTTCTGCTCCCTACTCTATCTCTGGTGAATCTTCCCACCCCTGCACCTCTGGCCTGTACCCCAGTTCTATATGTATAAATAAATATTTTTTAAAAGTTTACTGTTTAAAAAAGTTTTTAGGGGAATACTTAAACCTAATATTTAATACTTATACTTAAACCTCTCCCAATCTCTTCAGAGGATTAGATTTCAGATAGGTTAGATTTAGGGAAGCTGGTTTGGTAAAGTAGTCAGAATGGGATTTCTGTGGTTCACCAGTCTCAGGGAACCTCTTCATGACTATCCTTTCTAATTGTGGCCTTATTTGCTCCTGAGATAGATTCTAGTACTGCCTTCCTGGTTTTTTGCCTCAACTTGGCCATGCTGTTTGGGAGCAAAATCTTTCAAGTCCTTTTCAAGAGGAAAGACCATCAATAGGCTGATTCCTAACAGTTTCCAGAATCTATTTAATTGACCAAAACTTCCCTGCATAAGTGTTTCATACTAGGCTTGGGATCAGAGATCTATGAGTCTCTGTATTTGAAGAATCTGTTAGTAAGGCTCTAGCGGAAGACAGACATTATATATGTCCAAGTGCACTAAGTACTTCTAGACCCTGTACTGTGAAGTAGGTAGTCTGTTCAGGCCACTGAGAGGGAGTTGTTGGCTTAACTCAGTGTGTGAGTATGAAAGATGAAGAAGTAGTGATTGAGGTGAGGGTGGCAGTAGAAAGAGTTTCCAATAGAAGGAATAGCCTTGGAAGAGGACATTGCAGGGTTGGAAAATACCAATTGAGACCCTGGGTGAGAGGCAGCTGGAGAGATAGACAGGAACCTGCAGGAGAGGCTTTACATTCCAGGCTCAGGGACGAGGTCTTTGGTCCATGACCAATGGCTTCCATGGCATAGTGAAGGCAAGGGAAAGAAGATGGGATGTATGTTTGGAAAGATCTTTCAGCTCTTTCACTGGGGAGAGTGAAAAGACACTGAAGCAGGGCATTTGAAATGCTATTGCTATAGGCTAGAAGCAGTAAGGCCAGAAGGTCTAAGAAGCAGACACCCATTTTTTTTTTTTATTATTTTAGAGATGTACAGAGGTCCAGAGAGGTAAAGTGACTTACTCAAGGTCACTCAGCAAAATCAATAGCAAATTCAAGCCTTCAGCCTGTGGGTCCTGCCTCCTAGCACAAGCCTCCTCTATTGTTTCAATATCTTTAGGAGAGGCAGCTTACTGAGATTTCCCCTGCCACCCTGTACTCCTGAGTCTGTCATGAGCTCGCCCCTACTGCAGACCAGCCTGCTCAGCAGTGATGGGGAAGTGTTCCCAAAGGACAGGGCGGGGAGCATTGCCCATGCACTTCAGAAGATACTACTGCTGCTGCTGCCGCCTCTCCACCAATCAGGGAGCTCTCCAGCCACAAGAGGAAGCCAAGAGGCAGGGGATGGGGCTGCAGTGATTTATGACTGCACAGAAACAGCAGGACACTGATGTCCTGACTGGCCTGCTTGTCTACCAACTCAGCAAGAAAGGATGCATCTAAAAGTCATGTTCTCCAGCGCTGGAGCTGGGGTTAGCCATACATGGAGCCTGCCCAGTGCTCTTGTGTCAGGCCCATCACCAGAGCGCATGTTCCTTCCCTTCCTGAGCACATGCCAAGGGGTAGAACCTCAGAGCTTGGGCAGGAAAGCATGCACTTGCTATTGAGAGGGGTCCGGAAGATCTGCCTGCCTGGGTTTTATCAGTCATTGACTGTGTGACCTTTGGCTCATCACTTGGTCTGATTGTATCTCAACTTCCTGATCTAAAAAACAGGGATGATTCTGAGCATCTCAACCATTGGGATCCAATTATCTCCCAGGTCTGCAAGCTGTTTCCACAGCTAAAGAATGCCAATAGCTTTCCATTTCAGAAGAGGAACTTGCTGAATTAAGAACTAAGACTGTCACAGCTGGGTGGAGCACTTAGTGCTCATTCAGTTTAATTTCTTATGTCAAAGGTAGGAAATTGAGACCCAGGTGAGGGACAGGACTTGCATACAGATCTGGGTACAGGGCAGAAGCCATAATGTTATTTCTCCACCTCCCTGCTCCCAGTTTCCTTCGGCAGCACCAGACAATATACAGTGGTGCTGCATATTAAGTGTACATCAAGCCATTTGCTCTGTGTAATACCAGGCCTCTAACATAGCCCTCCAAACAGCCAGGGGCTGCTGGGCAGCTACAATTTTAAGCCTAGAATCTTAAAAAAAAAAAAAAATCAAAAGGGAAGGAAAGCAGGGTCAGCTCTCTCTTCCCTGCACCATTGGGGGGAAAGACTCAATGTGGAGACTGCAGATGTCATTCCTGTTTGGTTTCTGAACATCCTTTTCTTTGCATCTGCTTCCCTTTTCTCAAACAGATTTGACCTGGATTTTTTTTTTTTTTTTTGTTAGATGTTCATTGGAATGGTAGGAAGGAACCTGGCAGAGTGGTCAGAGAGGCAGCCTGAAATGAGCCAGTAAGTTCCAGAGATCTGACATTTAATCCACCTGTGGACAGTCCAGGTTGGCTGTAAGGGCTCATTCCCAGAAACCTTTGATACCCATGCCAGAAAGGCTCAGGCCTGGCCTGCAGGCAGGAAGAGAAAGGAAGAGGAATGAATTGGCAAACACTTAGGTAAGAAACAGAAGGAAGTGGGAGGGTTTATTCCCCAGCAAGATTGCATTTTGCTGGGTGGTAGTAAGAAAAGAGGAGCTGGATCCTATGTTGGCGGAGGGGGAGGAGAGACCTTCTTCTATACGTTTTCATTGCTCAGTCCCTCTCATAAACTGCCAGAGTGGTCCCAGCTGCAATCATTCTTTCATTCATTTCTTTTATATGTGCAACATATATATTATGACCAGGCACTGTGCTAAGCACCTGGGAGACAAAAATCAAATCTCATGATTTTTTTCTGCCCCTATTAAATCTCTCATAGACTTTCTATTTATTTCAGAATAAGGACTTTATTCCTTCACTTGCCATTCAGGGCTCCTCCTGATTGGCTCTTGACTCCATTCCCAGTCCTGCTACCATCACCTACGACAATACATTGAATTCTTTGCCTATCAATAAATATGCCTACCTCCTAATCTTGCTGCCTGTGCCCCTCTGTCTTCTCTCAATTCCTACATATTCTTTAAGGACTGCCTTGGAAATATTACCAACTCCCTGGGTGAGCTTTTCAGAACCTCTTCCTTTCAGCCTGAGGTGTTGGGGGAAGAAAAAAACAAAAGACACTTAGACTTAATACATTTTAAATTCCTTGAGGGCAGGGTTCCAATCCTTCCTCCAGCATGTAGCATAAAGCCTGGAATGTTCCTTCACAGAAACTCCTTCATTCTGTGTTCTCATACACAATACTTCATATCCTTTTCTTTTTTTTAATCTCCTACCATTTTCTGACATACTCTACATATTTCTCTTTATTTTTCTTCTTTCTTGGGCAGCGATTTTTTGTTTTGTTCACTGATGTTTAGAACAGTCCTGGGAACATAGTAGATGTTCAAAAGGTAATTGCTGAATAAATGATATCAATAAAATGTGTAGTCAAAACTATGGGATGTGTGAGCTACATGGAATGTCAAAAAGGTAAGTATTGAGCAATAATTTCTCTGAGCTCAGTGTGTGTGTCTTAGTTGGAGAAGGTAGGGTTGGGCAAACCCTAGATACACCCCAGTGTTAGACCTTCAGTAGACCCTTGGTAATGGTCGAAATTAAACACTCCACCCTGAAAGGAAGAAAGGACTCTTCAGGGGTCAGCCTGTAGACAGATGCATCCTTTCTGCAAAATAACGCTTGGTGTATTTGTCCCTCACAAAGTGGGGAAACGGTGTGTGTGTGTGGGGGGGGCCTGGAACCTTGTGGGGGAGGGCGACATTTCCTCCACCCTTTGGTTCTTTAATTCAAACATTTCGCGGAGCAAGGGCCACGCTGAGAGGTTGGATCCACAGTGAATGCGGGCCCCCTTCCCTCTCCCCTATGTACCATTACTTTATTTCGGAGCCGGGTCTAAGTTTGAAGTCCAGGCCCCCTCCCCTCCCAATTTCCTGGAGAATTTGGGGCGGGGCCGTGAATCAGCACTCGCGGTGACTGCTGCAGCATGGGTCCCGCCAGGGGTCCCCAGCGGCCGCAGAATTAGAACCACCCACTCCACCGGCGTGCTATGACCACTGGGAGTTGTAGTCTTAACCTCCCCTTTGTCCTTGATCTCCTCAACATATCACCCCAGCCGAGAAAGAACTACAACTCCCAGGAGCCCACGCGCAGGCGTCCTGGCAGGGCGGGGACCTGAGGGAGGAGGGGTAAGGGGGCGTTTGGGGAAGCTGGGGCGCAGCTTCTCCGGGGTGAAGTGAAGAACTCGGAGCTTTGGGGGACAGTGGGGAAGGAGAGGACGCCCAGAAGGCGGCGGCAAGCTGACTTGGGAGGGGAAGCCCAAGAAGCGGAAGGGCCGGGGCGGGGAGCGCGGGTGGGGGGCGGTGCCGTTGCGTCACGGCGTGGGCGGGGCTTCAGGGGGTTGTCCGCCCGCGGCACGCACGGCAGCCGCAGCCACCTCGCGCCCTGTCCCGCGGTCGCATCCAGAGCTGCAGCTAGCCGGTCATCGCCGCCTCGGCAGCGCATTTCGTGGGTCGGTCCCTCCGGCACACGAGCTCCAGCAGCGCCGCAGCCACCCTCCAGACCCTTCAGGCCGCCTCAGTCTCCGCGCCCGGCCCGATCCAGCCCGCAAAAATGGTGGACCGCGAGCAACTGGTGCAGAAAGCCCGGCTGGCTGAGCAGGCGGAGCGCTACGACGACATGGCCGCGGCCATGAAGAACGTGAGTTTCTTCTCCCCTCCCCCCGCCTCGCCCCAGCTCGGCTGCAGACACAGGCCCTCGCGTGGACTGCCCGGGGACTAGTCGCCTGTCGCGACTGCGGGGTTGGCCGCCCATCCTCTTCCAGTGAGGGGACTGGGGAGGGTCCCGATGGCGAGAAGGACCCGAGAAGAGAGGTGGCCTCTCCCCAGGCGTACCCCAGGGGCCGGCGGTGCAGCTTCCTCGGCCCTCCCTGGGCTTGGGTTGGGGCGGGGTCTTGCTAGACGGGGCTTGGGAGCCGGGTCTCGGACCACCGCGGCGGTGGGAGCCTGGACCCGGGGGCCGTGCGCATCCTTTGTGCCCCACTTCCCCTCCTCCCAGCCTGGGCGTGGGGGCGGGGGACCGCATGGATGCGGTTCCTCTTTCTCTCCCTGGTGTCTGGGCGGCGCCTTTTCCATTCACTCAGCAGGTCTCCGGGTTTTCTGATACACCCCCAACCTCCCACCCCCCAAATCTTCCCCACTGCTTCACCTGATAGATCGTTCAGAATGACCCGGGGAAAAAAATGTAGGCTCTTCTTCAAAACCAGGATTCAGTGGTGCAAAATCGAAACCTCCGTGCTCACGTTTTTCTTAACAAAAGGCTCCTCTTTCCCCATTACCTAAAGCGAGTCCTCTTGCTTTTAGAAAGGGAAACCGTTTGTCTCAAAGGCGTTTTCATTGATTTTCTCAACATGTCATCTCCATTTTTCCTAACGTTTTTGTATTGGAAAGAGCAGGTATTGTCTTTAAAATAAAGATTGAATTTAGCTGACTGATTTAATCTGTGACATACGCTTTTTTTTTTTAAGCTACAGGAGCACATCTGTTGAAATTTCTATTAAGTTGAAAAAATATTCTCTCTGATCTGATATTGCAAACAAAGCGGTGGTGGGAGGCAGTATCAAGTCATTCCAGAAGATTCTGCATTTGTCATATTGCAGAGAGCCTAGACTGGGTGGAGGCTGGGAGGAGTTATTTTAAAGGGGAAAAAGTCTTTTTTAAAAAATTTGTTTTGTTAGTTAACCTCTGAAGATTTTATTTTAAGCTAGCACATCCTCATGCTGATGAAAAGAGAATACTGATCTCCAGTTGTCGCATTTTGTCTGGGATGCAGATTCCTGCCTATATTGCACCATTTTGTCAGTAACACTACATTTATCCAGTGGGTTCTCATTAATTTGATATTAGAGGAGAGGGATGTATTGGGTATTATCAAATAAACAATGGAAAATTATCTATTTAATGATTTAGGGCTCCTATTTTAATATCTAACTTTCTGCCTTATGTAACAAAGGTTTTAAAATGCATCTCCAATGTGAAGTGGGTGCAGGAGTTTGTACCTTGCATGTTAAAAATAAGTAATATAGGAATCAGATTAATTTTTCAATTAGTTTACAGAAGATAACAATGCTGATACCTTTATATTTAAACCAGCTATGTTAACAAAGACTTGTTATTAAAGAATTGGTTCTGAAATTGGGAGTGAAATTGGTATCTTTTAACATTTTTAAGCCAAAATGATAACAAGTTGCATTTTAATGGCTTACTAGTACTGAAAATGTCTTTAATTCGTGTTTAGATTCTAATTTTTCCATATTTCTAGTTTCACAGGAAGGCGAGTGACCTCGCACCTATTTCCATAGCAACCCAGTGATGTCACACAATGACACAGAGGCTGCAATGCACCTAAGGGCTGGTAGGGAGTATGCAAATGGCATTTGTCCAAGGTGATGCAGAGATTAGCAGATAAGCCACGTGGAATTGAGCGCCTCATCTTCCACAAGATAAGAATTGGCCCCCCAAACTAAGAATTTCATTTATCCCATAGACATGCAAATCAGTGACCTAGAAATGTCCATTCACCTTCCTAGTTCTAGTTCTCACAAAAGTTTGTAAGATGCATTGATGTTTTAAAAAATTTGCTTGGCTTTTTAAGGAGATAGATATTTTTAAAGAAGACTAGCAGGCATAGGGGCAGGCATACTTGGGTTTGTTGCAGATAGCTAACCTGGGAAGTTTTAATAAAATGCTTAAATTATGACTTCCTACTGGGTCATTGTCAGTAACAGGGTTTGAATGCAGAACCCTTTAAGTTGGGGTCTGGGAAAATGCTCTTTTGTTCTTTCTAGTTGTGCTTCTTGACAGCATGGAGAAAAGAACAGTCTGTGTACTAAAGTGACCATTTTCCCAACCTGTTTACTGAGACTGAAGTAGGTTTACCTCTGACCTCATTTTCCTCAGCCATAAAATGGGGCATTTCCTACTTGAAAGAGTTCTGAAGATTAAATAAGAAATTACAGGTGCTGAAAAAAATGGTGACTTCTGCCTTCATAAAACTTGGTTTCTTCCTTTGTTTATAAGTTATGGCATTATAGAGAATTTGGAAAATACAAAAAGATATGAAAATACTTACTCCTACCACTCAGTGAGCTCTCTCTCTATGGCTGAAAGCCTGGCGATAAGAGTGATAACGTTTATTGAATTTAATGAGATTATCCTAGAAATAACAGTGGGGTCTGTGAAGAGTGATCATTGTATTTGGGTGACCAGGATAGAAAAAAAAATACAGTAATTTGATAAGGAGGAAATAGGCAAGTCTGGCCTCCTAAGGCAGATGGGTAGCTGTGCATTTTAAAAAGCGCAGACTGCTGGAAGTGTCCCACTTGCTGGACTTTATCATCCTGTCTTTGGGATTTTAACAGCCTCTTGAGAAAGTTAATATTCTAAGTAGGCTACTGGTACTTGCCTGGGGGTAAGGGAGGGGGAAGGTTCTGGACTAACAATTTTGTTGAAGTTACTAGGTTAAGCAATTTTCACTGTGTGGGGTGGGGGCACTGGTGGCAAAAGCCTATCATAGTTATATAAAAAGCCTTCATAGTGGGATCGATAGACTTTAAAAGTCTTACTATCTTAAATATTCTGTTTTTTCCTCTCATCTCTTCCAGGAGGCTAGATCAATAGCTATTAGCTCTAATGGAGTAATGACACCTCTGTAGACTCTTCAGAAGTGGAGTTCTGCCAACCATTATTCTAAGTCATGTGGTTTCAATTGTTCTCTTCTTTGGGTGGGAAAAATACAGTTTGTTTTTTATGTGCTATCTTTTGCAATAACAGAAATAACTATCAAGTGATTTTTTTCTGATTAAAAAACTCATATCTTTTGGATTGTATTGAGATAAAAGGTTTTGGTAAATGTGCAGCATCCTCATTATAGGTCTTTGGATTAATTGCAGACCCTGGGGAAGATTTCATCTCCTGGTATTTGGGAGGCCTTATTAAGCCAAACTAATAAATTATTGAAAAGAGTAAAGAGAAAGATTTTAGGTAAAAGGCACACTAACCACTTCAAATTCAACCAATTCAGTTTTGTTTTGTGCATTCACAATATTGTGCAATATCTCATTGAAAAAAGAAAATATTTTTAAGATGTGATGGTCTGGCTAGATTTCAAAACATGATTATTGATTCAGGAATGTGTCAATAATGAAGTGCCTGCAACAACTCACAGCCAATGGTAATCTGAATCCTTTTTTTCCCTTGGTTTTCTAATATTGAACCTTTTCAGCCTACATAACCTTTTCAGCATAAATTGGAAAGGGGAGCTTGTAGTTAGGCTTGTATTCCCATTTTAAAAGTTCACAGAACTTAAAACCATAGGATGCCTACCCAAATAACAGTTTACCTGAATCAGAGCAAATCATTACCTGGAGGTTATGGAAATTTTGTTTGCTGGTGTTCTCATTATGACTCATTTTCCTCCCCAAGACAGATTTTGTTTTTGCTGTGTGGCAGTGGTGCCCTAATGACTGCTGTGCATTACTGAGAGTGGGGAGCTATTTAAGCATGGGGAGCTAAACTGATGGGATTCCTGTAAGTCAGATGTTTTATACACTGATTCAGTTGCCACCGTTTTTTGAAATTGTTAGTAGTGTTTTGCTCCTAGTATTACTAATAGAGCATTTAATAGAGCATTTGATTTTATCTAATAGAGCATCTGATTATTTCTGTATTCCTACCCAAAACTGGGACGTGGAAGAACAGAAGCCAAGATTACATGTTTAATTGTCAAAGGGGGAAAAAAATCTAAACCATTATTGAATCTTAAGCTTTGCTTCTTAGTGTTTTACAAACAGACTACTCAAAGAACTTGGTCTTCCTGGGTTATAAGATCATTAGCGCCAGCTGCCGTAGGGCACTTTGTCTCAATCGTTATGTTGTATATACTAAATTACACCGCAAGTATCAGCTGTCATTTTGGTTTACTACCAAAGCAAATATAAATAGGCCGTATGTAGAGATCCTAAAAATTTCAGTTTTCTAAACTGTTGTAAATTTGAGTAGTAGAAAGAAGTTACTTGAAAAGTAACCAATAAGAATTGCCTAAAGGAAGCTGTCATTTTAAGACATGTGGTTCAATAATTGGTTTAGTTCCATGATTTTATAGATTTACAATAAAAATTGTAAATCATACAGACTACTTGGAAAGACTTCCAAAGAACTGATCAACATGAGATGGTCTGTAGAAAAAGACTTTTTTCATATGAGTTGAGTACTATTAACGTGCCACATAGCATTGGTTGGATTTGAATAGGTAAATAGAAAAGTGTTGTTACATACATGAACTTTTTAGCAAAACATTGAAGTGATAAATTTATAAATAAGTTCTTTGGTATCACTTAATTTTTGGCGAGCTCTAAAGCCAGTCGTGGTTAGTAGCACCCATGCGTTTCCCCTTTTAGTGATTCTGTTACTAAAACGGGTGTCGGAGCTTGGACCAGGACAGTGACAGCAGTGGGCAGCTGGATGTGTAATGACAGCGCGAGAGGAATGCCTACCTGCCCACGTAGCTGTGGTAGTGGTTTAGAGACGAGAGAAGGGTATCAAGGAGCCAGCCATTAAAAATGTAGGCTTTCTTTGGAAGAGTTAAAGAGTATTAAACTTTATCTTCCCAAAAAGATTTATCAATATGACGTATAAGCTACA